AACCTTAGGGCAACTAATTCCCTTATTAAATAAAATAGAATAGAGCTGTGGCACTGAACAAGCTCATGCCTTTAAAAACAAAGAAGAAAAGAGTAGTGACTATCTTCTTTCATGCCTTTTCAACTTCAACTCTTAAAGCTACTAGAGAATCCCTTACTATTGAATATAAGTAACTCCATAACAGAAAAAAATCAGACTAAAGCTTTTAACTTTCTTCCTTCACTTTAATATATAGGTGGGCATACTTTATGAGTGAAAATCGTAATATCAATGTAGCACTTTTTCAAGTTATTTCACTCTTACATCTCAAAATTCTTATTGAAAGTAAAAATGCATACCCAAGCATGCACTACCCAGACCGTTCATGCTCACTTTGTCTCTACTCCCTGCAATGATGACAACATCAACCTTGCCCATAAGTTCTCCCTATACTAAATCAATGATAATATCAACCTCGCTAGAGAGCTCTCCACTGACTGCATCGATGATAAAAAAGCTCACTCATCCATGATGTGTATATATTCAATTCCAAAGGTCGAAGGAGTAAGGTATTGACATTATGGGTAGAGTAGTGATTTTCTAACTTTATTATTTGTATTTAGTAAAGTTATATTTAGAAAACATCAATTAGATAACCTATTCAATATATAAAACCTTAGATAATGCCAATATATACAATATTTATAAAACATCAATATAACATATCCCATTAGATAACATGTTCATTATATACATAACATTAATGTAAACTATTAACCTATACATTAATCTACTAAACAAATATTGTAAATACTCAATCAATGTGTATTGTTTCTTGAGTGGCCATATCAAAATTTGTACTAAACAATAATTTGAAATCTTTTATATAAAGTATACATGAAATTTCCCATCCTCGACCATAATTATAACAAATCGTACACCAATTGCATGCAATTAGACTTGATGAGAATGACTTCATTAACATCTACAAAAAAAATAATAAATATAATTTCATTATCAATAATATATATGGTAAGTATCAACACTAATTATCAGTATTTACACAAAATGATAATCATTAACAAATTTAATCATAATGATCCTATGCTCTAATGGTACATGTGGTACTAATTTAATAGGGTGATATGTCAAGAACTATCTTAAACTGATATGGATTAGCACGTCATTATATCGTAAGGTAATCAAATTATTCATATCAAATAAGGTCATCTACTTATAATATAAGGCATAAGTATTGAAACATGATAAGGTTTCTAACAATTCTTTAACACATTCCAAGAATTCATACAAAGTTATATATTCACTATAAAACTAATTAAACTCATCAAAACATCTAATCTCAATCAAAACAACCCATCAATAGAATGAAAATCATAATGTCCATCTACCTTAACATCAACGATACTTTGTATATACGGATGTAATTCTACTAGTAAACCATCTAAATATCATATTATTCTTTTATCATTGAGACGCTAAATAGGAAGTTTAATGATTTGTGTTTCACTTTCGTTGAGTTTGTAGTAGTTGGTGGTGATACACTATCTTGAGTAGTTAATACAATCTCTCAACGTGATAGGTTATGTCGTGTAGATGTATATGCTTTTATAGCTTCGTGATCTTTTATCTTAACCATCTCTAGTGGTGGAATTAAAGCAATTGTTAATGAATCACCAAATTCTCACAATTTTTTTTTCACGACTAAATTACCGAACTCATCACATTTTTTGAAGCGTTTTATGATTTGGTCAACCTCTGACACAATTGTTAACTCTTTAGAAACATCATTAACTTGGCTTTTTATCAAGTCCAACTTCTTCCATTAAGAATGCACTTCAAATAAAAAAATTAGACTTTTCAACCTTATATGCTTTATAATTTTATGAGCACAAGGTAATCCATATGTGTTTCTGATATGCAACCATAAGCATTCTTGTCAATCCTAACATGATTAGATCATTTAGCCTCCATCAATATCATATTGAGTGCACTCATAAATACCGAACCTCAAAACTCTTTAAACAATAAAGGCTTGTAATTATGCTTAACAATCTTAAAACTTCTCTCAAATGAAGCCTTGATCTTTGTATATTAGAGCTCAATAAGGGTGTTAATTATCTTTATGATGATTCAAAATCACTTTAAGATGATCCAAAGTACCTCTTCAATTTTATATTTGCACTATCAACCCTAAATGAATTAATAAAGGTATATTAATATTTTGTTATGAAACCCTAAACCATAAATAATATAAAAAATGCAACATAAATTATACTTATTTGTTGTAACATTACCAAAGTGCATTACTTTATTCGTCTAAGCAGCAATGAATCTATATGTCATTATACTTTGTCAACTATTATTCTTTCACATACTTGATTGCACTTGAATAAGTCTAGTAATCAATTTTCAGTGAATTTAGATACCTTTCATATTCATCATTGGTAAAAAAAATAAGGACACTCTAACCTGACATGAATACCTCATATTTTTCCTTTTTCTCAAAAAGCTTATTACAATTTACAAATACATTTTTTGAGATATGTTATTTACACAGAAGATTTACTGTATTGGGAAACACAACCTCTATTGTATTCATCAATTCTTATTATCTATCAGTAACAATAATAGCAAAAAATATATCAAAAGCTATCAAATTTTTTAACTTATCTAGTGCCTTATTGTAGTTCTCAGAATGCTCGACTTCATGGATACAAATGAAACAAAAAATATCATCTCAGTGAAAATCATACCAATAATTTCAAGCAATGAAAGACAGTGTCGATTTGTTTTATAGGAGCAATTTATAATCAGGACAATTAAAAAAGCCTGCAACAAATCTATACCAATAGAATGAGTCCTGAATAAGTCTCTTATATGGTCACTTGACACATTAGTCTTATGAAACTCTAAGTAATTACAATCGGTCAACTTCTTCATAAGTTGTTGCATTTATGATCTATCAATTTTTTCAACATATATGTATCTTTAACATTCATTGTATAATGTTTTTATAGTATTAACATTCTTCTTATCATGTTATTTTATGGTCAATAATAAGTTCTTGGGTCTAACCATATTGTTAGACATATCAGCCACTATTTTCTTTTCTATTTCAAATAATCAACCTATAAATGAATGTCCATATAATTGTTTTACTACTTGATTATTGTGAAACCTAAAAACTACTTTCATGCTCCACTGATCATCCATTACCAACTAAATCCCATGTAATTCAAATAGGCAACCACATTGTTTCATTCCCGTTTCCTTATGTTGCATTCTTTCGATCTTACCCTTATACTTTTGCTACATGTATTTTCTATTTCGTTCACATGCCATTCTTATTCTAAGTTTTCTTGGGTTTCCCTATTCAGAGTTTTTAATCACAATTATAAAATCATTATCTTTTTCAACCTACCTAACCTATGAAATCAAAACTTCTCTACTACAAAACACTTGCACAACATATTTAACTCATTATGTTTATATAAACTAACATTTTATGCCTTCCATAACACACTACCTCAAAAACATAATCTTACCTCTTCCTTTGTAAATGAATTCATGCAATCATATTTGGTATTTAAATTTTTTAGTAATTGATTTTACTTTATCAGTGTAGTTTTTAAATTGATCTACATGTTACAAGATGTTAAAATTTATAATAATATCATTAAGAAGTGGAAGTAATAATACCATTACTAGATATGCATACAGGGACAATTTTTTATGTTTACTAAAATGGATATCCAAAATGAATATTACTTCATCATATTTGCATTTTTGAAAATTATATTACGTTACTAAAATGCAATATGATATTCAGATATACATATTTGGAATGCTTATTGCATGTATTTTCAGTAATGCAATATGATTTTTGAAAATGTATATCTGAATATCATATTGTATTATCGAATATACATATCTGATAATGAAATATTGATTTCAGATGTGCATATTTGATAACGCAATATTCATTATGAATATCCATTTTTGTAAATATTAAATTTTCAATTCAAAATGAGTTTTAAACGAATTATTTTGTTAAGCTGCTCATTATCTCTTTCAATTTTGTTTTTTATTTAGCTATCTATTTTTATAAAATTTAATAAATATTTCAAAATTTGGTAATTTGTTTTAAAGATTTAGGATTTTTTTTCTTAGGAAAAAAAGAAAAAAGAAGAAGAAGAAAAAAAGAAACGAACTGCAAATGAGTGTAAATTTACTAAATGATATATAAAATCCTTTGGCCCCTTTCAGTTAATTGAATACCCAAAAAATACTTCAATAGTGACGTCTGTATCCCAAATTTATATCCTCCCAGAAATACTCCTGCCACCGCCACCTATTACATCGAAGTAAAAAAACAACCACCGACTGTTCCGCCAAATTACATACCTACCCCAACACAGTCACTCTTCCGCTGAGAATCAGAAACAGAAATTCGAGTTTCAAAATTCCAAAAATTCATCTATTTTTGACACATGAACTAAGAACCTCGTTCCGCTTTTAGAGTCATTGGATTTTCTTGATATCCAGAGAAAATAAAACAAAAGACTTTATTTTCAATTTTTCCCTTTCAGAACAAACAGAAAAATTACAGCATTTTACAACAGCTTTGCACATAAATGATTGATGCCGGAACCTCAAACTTTCCTTTGTCTCACTTTTCTTTCAACATGATTTTCTAAGCTACCAAACAGAAAAAAAATTATAAAATATATAGGGCAAAAAAAAAACATTTCTTCCATTTCTGTTAAGTCCTCTTTACACTTGAGGACTACACACAAAAAACCCTAAATTTCTTCACTTTTCCTTTAATATTCTATATTTACACCAAAAAAAAAAAACAAAAAGAACAAAAAACCTCGTTTGTTCCTGTTTCTCTTCCTAGAAATCGAAAAAACAGTCGTCGGAGAAAGAACGAAGCAGATCCTGGAGGTCACGTGACCCAACCCCTAGTCTCAAAGCTTCCATAACCCGTTCAAAAACCAGCACGTGGCACGGAATATGAAGCACCCCTTTTTGCTCATAGCCATACACCTGAGCCGACCTATTAAGCAAACCAACGAAAACGGGGTGGTTCAGCAACTCCGCGTTCACCACAAACCGCTCCATCTCTTCACCAACGTAAACCGGCACGTGACCATCTGGGACCGACCGGGATGCCGGCTTTTTCAACGAGGAGATCGCGGCGCGGAAAGATTCAGTTCGACGCCTGGCGGTACGATGGCGCGTGGAGGTGTCGGAGCGGAGGAGGCTGTACTGGGAGGAGGCGTCGGCGACACGGGAGAAACGGCGGATGAGTTGCTTCATTTGGTGCTTTACGAAAAAGAAAAGAAATCTTGGAATATCTTGTTTTTTATTTGATTTGTTCGTTGAAAAGAAGGAAAAGGAGGGGAAAAGGGAGCTGGGATTAGGAAGGTTGGGAAAATGAGGGGAATGTGTACATATATTTATATAAAGAGAGGAAAGAGGAAATTACAAAGCAAGGTGATGATAGCAGCGAGGCAAGGGTACAGGTCGGAGTACTTGGCAGGTACAATTCCTCACATTTTTTTATTACCTTTTTTTTTTTTTTTGTTTTTATAGAACAGCCAGCGCAAATCGAACTATTCTTTTGCTTTTTTTTATTAATTTGTTTTGCTACTTTTTTTTTTTTTTGTGTGGTGATGAGCCAGTTGAACTCGAAGGCTTGGCTCCATTGGGATTGGATTTTGTAAATTATGTTTTAGTTACAACTCGTTTATTAAGAATATTATATTTTGTAAATTATTTTTGTATATTATATTTTTAATTTTAATAATATTTATAAATTAATTAGACATGTCGAGTTTAAAATTAGAATTTATTGTAATTTTAATATCATTCAAAAATTATATTAAAATAATTAATATTAACAAATCACTTGTTTTAGTATAATGTATTAATGATTTATGATGCAACATATATATATATATATATATATATTATCATGACTTTCCTATGTGCTCTCTCTATGATTTTTCAATAGTAATTTTATATATTCAATCAATACGCATTGTAGGGGGGATAGAGTAAGATGCGTCATTATAATAAAATAATCTTTAATACATAAAGTTAATTTATTCAACAATAATTAGACAAAAAAAATAGTGGTTACTATCACAAATACACTGAATTGAGTTGAAACTAGATGCTTCAAGATGCCAATTATACTTTCTAAAATCAGCTTAATTAGCAACTGTAATTTGGCTGGTTTAATTGATAAGGTTATCTAATTCAATTCAAACTATTTATAAACTCGATCATTATCAATGATCAATAAGGTTGACAGCCCAACTTACCCTCATTAGGTTCTTATCCGATCTGACTTCATAGAGTTGATTTTTTTTTTTAAATCAGATTTCGAGTTAGGTCAGATAATGTTAAAAAAAAATCGTGATCAGGTCGGATTCAAGTTTTAAGTAAACCCGACTCGATTAGACCATATATTATATAAAAATTATTTTTTTAATTCTTTATTTATATATTTTTATATTTATATTTTAAAAAGTATTATTTTATATTTAAAAAATAATATTTTATTAATTTTGAGTTGAGACGGATCGGATATGATTTATATAATATTGGGTCGAATCGGGTTTGAGTATGAAAAAAATTTAAAAATTTTTTTGATCGGGTTCAAGTTTTATAAAAATAAAATTAAGTTGAGTTTGGGACGAGCAAAAATTTGTCCCGACTCAATCCGTTACCAACCTTAAATTGATCAATCTTGATATAATTTTTAATATTTTGTCATAACTTGATAGTTATAACATTTTTTGGTAATATATTTGAGTAAATTTGACAAGTAATATATTTATATTATATTTATTTCATATTGAGTACAAGTAAAATATAAAAATTATTATATTATAATTTATATAAATACATTAAACATAAAAAAAATTGTTTTAAATTTATATATAAATTTTATTAAAATTTTAAATATTTCACATTTATATTATTTTATATCATTTCATATCTAATATTATCGAATATAGTTAGGAATATTCTTTGTTTGAATCTCTTTTAAATTTTATTTTTTTTAAGAAAAAGAATATTTACATTATTTGTATGTTTACAAATAACATTGATATGTGTGTGATCATTCCACTGTACTTTGACTTGTTTGAGATTGGATCAGTAGAAAATTAGTCAATTTTGATTATTTGAAGGGTCGAGACTGAAACTTTCAATTCGACTTGACTTACTTTATGCCTTAATATACAAAAAGCAGCTCCTAACAAAATCTGCGTTCACAAGAGTTTTTCCAGATGAGAAATAGATTTAATTGTTTTTCTTTATCAATCAAGATTTGATTTTTATAAAACATATTTAAAAAAAAAAAAACTTTGAATACATTAAATTAATATAAAAACATTTAAATCCACAATTTTTTACTATGATAATAGTAAATGTTTAATTTGACAAGTAATGCCACTATTTTAACTGTTATTTCTTGTTACAAATTCAATGCACCATGTTCATTGGCATTTAGATCTTTATCAAAGGAAGTCAAGGTAAATTGTAGGCAGCACAATCACCGGAAGAATGCTCCCTTTTCCGTAGTCCGTTGCAGTCCAGTTTATTAATTATAATTTAAAATTCGTACCAACGTTTTACACTACTTGAATGATTGCAAAACTGCAGTAAAATAAAATTTAGGTAAAATGTATGTTAATTTTGTGTCCCGTTTTGGTAGTTTTAAATAGATTTAAAGATTCATGTATATTTATAATATAAAATATTAAAATTCAAATATTTATATATTTTTTATATTAAAATTAATATGTCACAATTAATATATATATATTTAATTTTATTAAATTTATTATTAAAATTTTAAATCGTATTATTTTTTTATTTAATTTTTATATCATATTTTTGTCATATTATTATATTATATTTTAAATTATTAAATCTAATTTTAAAAAATTTAAAGTGAAAGAAATTTTTTTAATTTAAAATTTAGATAGGTGATAGATTTTTAAAAAATTACATTAAATTTATAAAATATTTAAACATAAGTAAAAATATTTAAGATTTATCTACTCAACCAACTCGTATTAACGTGGCCCGTTTTATCTCTTGCCTACGTGTTACTTTTTTTTCATCATTTTTACTTGCGTGATAAACACTGTCTAATGAAATTTGCTTATTAAATGCACGTGTAATCCACGGACATATATTTCAGAATGGGGATGATGCTGCGGTTTATATAAAAAAGGACAATGAAAAAGAAGAATATTTTTGGAATCTTAAGCAACTAGGTTATCTAGGCCCTCACATTTGCTTTGATCTTTCTTTTTTTACTATTGTTAATTTCGTGTGATTTGTGTAATCCACAAATCTTATTTTTTACTATATTTTTTAAAAAATATTTTAAAATTTCGTTCAATTACATATAACATACAATGAGAGATGTTTTTATTTTACCAAAAGATATCATAATTTAAAAATAAAAAATAAAATTATACCTAAGATATATTAAATAATATAAATTAATTGAATTAAATTTTGAATTTAATAAAGCATAATTTTTTTCGATACTATAATTTTTATTTTTTATTTTTTTTTTCATTTTCATAAGTCCATCTTAAAATTTTCATACCATAGTGTTTAGTTTGAACGGTTGAGTATTTGGTCCAAAAATTTTGCTCAACTTTAGAAAAATAAATTTGAATGAGCGTATAGCGTTTTTAATCTTCATTTTATTAATATTATGAAAAACTATTAATCAAACAGGAAAATCTTCACTTTTTATCTTCTTTTAAAAGGGTGATGATAAAAGTCGGTGAGATAATGTTGGATTGCAAAAGGGGAAATAAAAGGGGACATTTATGGATTATGTTGAACACTTTATCTTATGGTCCAAATCTAGAATTTTCCTTATAAATGTGAAAACTAGTTGGCAAATTAAGATTTGTAAAGTTTTAGAGGATATTTAAATTTAGGTGGCCAAAAGATTAAATTCGGACCTTAATTGAGCCCGAATTATGATCATGGTTTAGAAAATATGACCAAGACCAAGACCAAAAAGAAAATGTACCGTGTCTATCAAGTCCGTAAGAAAAAGGGGAGAAAAAAAAATTTACTTTTATATCTTAAATATTACTGTTTGAAATAAGGAAGAGAGTAGGCCAAGAAGATATTTCATTTAACATGACATTTTAATAAAAAGAAAAATTATTTTATTTAGCAACTATTAAATTTTAATCCCCAAGAGTAAGTTTATAAGATTGTCACATATATATTATGCTATAATTAAGAAAATTAATAAATTAAAATATACTAATTAAAAGGACGGGTGATATATAATTCTATAATATGCTTGTAGTTTTTAAAAATTCATAAACGCGGATATATAAAAAAAATTTTTCATACAATAAACCTTACTTTTAAAATTCATACCTTTGCTTTTACATGTTTAGTTATCAATTGCACTAAAATTACAATTTTCTAAAAGGTTTTTTTGGGGTCAAACAACGTTATTTGATGAGATCGCAGGGGAACGAAAACAATGTGAACACTTTAGTTATGCTATTATCAACCAATTCAAAGTTGAATAATTTTACTAATGAATTATTAGTTTAGTGGTTGATGTGGACACATATATAAGAAAAGTGTTTTAATATTTTTTAAGATTTGAAAATAAAAAATTTGAAAATTTTTTTTTGAACATTTCTAAAATTTTTCTTTAAGTATTTTTTCATCAATAAAATTAATAAATATATAAATACTTTTTTAATATATTATAAATAGATATTTCTTGAAAAAAATTTAGATCCACCACTATTTAATGATATCGAAATCAGCTCAATTAAAGATTAAAAATCTTGAATTCAACCCTCAATTATAAACAAGAAGACCAAAAATAATAATAATAAAAATTGAATAATTTTGATATTCAAACAGCTTAATAAGGATATTTATGTTGTTGATCATTACCCTCTACTTGTTGGCCAACAAATGCACTGATCGGTTACTTGATTGCCATTTTCACCACGCTACGGCAAAGCGTTAAAGCCAACAAAAAACTGAGGTACAACACTCCAACGTCATCCCTTATTTTTTTTTTTTTTAATAAATTTCACCATACAAAATATTTGACTATATGGTTTTAAATTATCACCAACTCATTTATGTTCTAAAATACAAGTACTATTAAGGACGATTGTTTGTGTCACACTCTCTTTGTCACATTTTTTGTCTATTGTTTCTATCTTCAAACACATTTAATACTCCTATTTTAATGTATTATATGTTTTTTTCCTTCTATTTTTGGCCTATAA